TTAATTTTCTTAAAAGAAGACTTGGTGAATTTCCTTTAAAAATGCTCGAAAGTAATCATTATGGGCAAATGCAATATATGATTCAAGAATTTTGTAAAAATGTTAAGTTCCCATTCGATGGAAAAGATCACCAATTTTCTTATGACCTAGATCTCGGAGGTGATTATAATTTAAATATAAATTTTGTAAGTAGAAATGGAATTTAAGTGAAGTTTGAATTCTTAAAACTTAGAATACAATATATTTTATATAAACTTACGCCCTGACCCTAAAATCTTAGACATTCAAAATTCACTTAAATTCCGTTTCTAAAATTTAGAAAAAAAAAAAAAATTTTTTTTTTTTAATATAATTTTATTTGTTTATTAGAGGTTTGCCCGGTGCTCAAGCAATATGTGACAGGCGAAAAAAAAGAAAAGATAGAGGAGGATGATTGGATAATTGAATTAAATTACATGGCTGTCAAGATTATGTTTGATCCCATTGTTGATAGGATTATCAACATGATAAAAACACAATTAGATAATTCTCATGATAAATGTTCTATGTTATTTTTAGTTGGAGGTTTCAGTCAATCCAAATATTTACAATCAAGAATTAAAGAAGAATGTCAACACCGGGTTAGTTCTATTTCAGTTCCTGTTCAGCCAATCGCTAGTATATGTCGCGGGGCTGTATATTATGGCCTTAGCCTAAAAAATACCACCAATGGTGTAGCTTTGGATTGGGATAGATTTATCGTCAAAACTAGAGTCCTTAAATATACATATGGAATAAAAATATCTATGAAATGGAAAGAAGGTGATCCAGCAACCCGAAAAAGCTATGACGGGTATATTGATAAATTTCATCCATTAGCATCGAGAGGATCTGAAGTATCCGTAGATCAAGAGTTTACATTTAGTTGTCGTCCTTTAAAAAATGGTCAAATAGCTATAACTTTTGAAATATTTTATACTCAAGAATTAGATTCTAAATATTGTGATGAAATTGGAATGAAATTACTTGGAAAACTTCGAATTGATCTTCCAGATGTACATCTTGGTCTTCAAAGGTCTATTATGTTCGGTCTTTGTTTTGGAAAAATGGAAATTACTGCTTTCGCACAGAACAAAACTAATGGTCAATATTATCAAACTACCTTTAAATTAGAAGAAGATAAATAACATTTAAAAATTTTGATTTAGTTATATATATTATATTCTAGATGTAGCACTCTGGTAATACTCTACAAGATGCAAACCACTGGTGGTTTGGGTATTTTATATCAAATATTGATAAATAATTCGTAAAACATGCATTTAAAACAATAATTGATTATTTGTAATTTTTCTTCCCTACATATATTTATAAACGAAATTTATCTATTTTTGATTTGTAAAAAAAAAAATAAAATAAAATAAAAACTAAGCAGTGCATAAAAAGTACATATTTAATTTTACTGCACATAGAAGAAATGCAATAGTTAAAGAATTATATTTCATTTAGTGCGCTTTTCATGTATACATAATCTAAGAATCAGCATAAAAACTGCACGTACGTACATATAAAGAATTTCAACTTAAAACTACAAAATATGAAAATGTGATCGAATGGATTCCTTTTAATGGATTCCTAGTTAATGAGTATAAAGATGATTTATTAACGTTAAATACTTATCCATAAATACTTAATTATAAATACTTAATTACAATTAATTAATTTTCTAATACCCTTCAAATCATTTCATTCAGTAAGTGAGTATAAAGATGATTTATTAACGTTAATTAGTGGGAATTAAAATGAACATATACTTATTCATAGGATTAAGTTATTTGTCACAGTTATTTGTCACGTAAGTGATAGTGGCATATATACAAGTCACTCTCGTTATAGTGAACTCTCGATATAGTGAAGACTAATTAAAATCTCGATATAGTGAAGTTAAGTTCAAAGCCAGTCTATATAAAATTCTCTCGATACAGTGAATTTACTAATAAAGCTCTCGATATAGTGAATTTTTGAAAAATTTTTATTAATGGAACGATCACTCACTACGTATAAAGAGAGTGACTTGTATCACTTTTTGTGGCGCGGACAAATCAGATTTCAAGATCAGGTGTAACGTAGCACGATCAGAAAAATTCAAACAAACGTCCCTTTTTTCATTCGGTTATGAAATACAGAACTTTCGTTTTGCCAAAAATCACCTATAACTCAAAAATCTGCATAGAAAACCACCTTTGGTGTGGTGATCTAACAAAAAGTTTTCCTTGCAAGATTTTACCAATAATCATACTAACACCTGACCTTGACCCTAACCCTAACTTTAACGAACTTTTAAAATTTTATCATTATTATGATTTCTTATAGGTGACAATATCACTTTTGTGTTAATTAACTTTACTCTTATTCATAATACTAATTCTAAATACTTTATTTACAATTAATTAATTACCTAATACCCTCATTCAAATTAATTTAGTCTGTGAGTATAAAGATGTTTTATTAACGTTAATCAGTGGAATTAAAATCATGAAAATAATAAATACTTATGTAACTCTAAATAGTTATTTACAATTAATTACCTAATTAATACCCTTCAAATCATTTCATTCGCATTAATTATTTAGTCGGTGAGTATAATTTTCAAAGTTACAATGAAATCAAAATAAATAATACTGTAATAAATGACAATATTTAAAAAAATTGAGGAGATTTAGCATATATTTTCAAGAATTTGGTTAGATGGTAAAAGAAAAATCTATAGTAGTTATATACGATCACGTACACCATCATGCGTAGTTGCATTTAAGACACTACCTAGTTCACAAAAGAATTTTTTAAGAGAAGTAGGTGGAAGTCATTGTTGCTCACTTTCCCGATGGTCATTTCCCCGACAGGCCATTTATCATAGGTTTGGATTAGCATTAGGTATATATTATTAGTAAATTATCACCTTGTGTAATGTCAGGTAAATGGCTGTCGGGGAAATGACCATCGGGAAAATTATATGTAATTGGTTGAAGTGATTTGTTTTATAATTTGGTATATACCGTAAAACAATTATTAATATCATAAATTTATTATAAAAAGTTTAAATATTATATGCATCTTGAAGTGTATGGGCTAACTCAAAATATAACTAATAACGATATTTAATAGTATTTCAATATGTAAGTAGAGGAAGTCTTTATATTTCTTATCTTTAAATGTTAGAAAACTTAACTGGAAAAGTAAAT